TTTTCTGATATTTTTATTTAGTAGATATATCAGGCTATATCAAGTTCTGATATGATAAACAACTTAACATTCGTTATCCGCTTAGTATTTTTATAACGTTTATTTGAAATCAGAACTCACTCACTCACTCAGATAAGATACAGCGAAAATATTTTGAAGGTTGTCTTGTCCTGGGCAAATGATGTACATCCAGGCTGCGGGATTGGCCGTCATTTGGGACCATGGGAATGGTTATTAAAGAACGACGGAAAACACACACAGAAGTGCAGCCGTCTTTACTGAGACAACGCTCCTATGTGTCAATCATGAAACAAACTATCACTGTAACATTGAGAGGGTTAGGTGTCATTGACTTCCTTTCAAGTTGTAGCAAATATCAATGAAGTCAATAAATAACGCCTCTTGTTCTTTGATGAAGAATAATCAAAATGGGTATCAACTTTAATTAAAGACAAATAATTGATGTTTTCCCTCTTTCCTCGTGGGCGCTATTATCGGTTGGATTTGATCTGAAGGAAGCGTTGTGCACAAACTCAAATATTATGAAGTTAATTACTTGGGATTAGTCAGCAATGCCTGGAATGTCATTGTACTTTGCTAGTACTTATTATAGTCGAACCTATTTCGCTATACATGAAATTAACTATGATGAGATTCTCTCTGGACAGAATGCCACCAGTCATTTATCATTTGTAATCACAAAGCCCCCTAATTAATATGATCCATCACGTTTGAACTTAGCTTACACAACGTGTCAGATTGTATTACAAAGGTGAGAAAGTCTCTACTTCTTACACTCAATACAGACCAACAGCCTCTGGAACACTGACGTGTGAAACGTATTGAAGAGATTGAGTCAAACATAACATTCTTAATTAAACCAAAGGGTGGCAAAGATACACCTTTCCGCTATCCATCATTCTGTGTCTGCCATATCACGACCAAACACCAGGCAGTAGCTTCATACATTGTTCCTGTGGGGAGAAAAAAAACCCGATCTTTGACGTGACGAGCTAACACTTCTATGAAGGCTGTCCGAACTTGGTGTACATAAAATTAAAGCATGTGCTTCTCGTAACCCACTCTATGCTAGTCTTTAGTACTGTGATATGTATAAAGCAAAGACTTGCTTGCCAACAACGACACAATAAAAATGAAGAATTGTATTTCAGGAAACACGATTTCATCGCTGGGTTCGAAGAACCTGGTGTTAAAGTAGATTTAAGTCAAAACTACCTTTCGTTTCATTTTTTCCCGTACTCCAAACGAAACCGTACAAAGACATTCATTGCTTACTACAAATGTAAAATTGACCAAGAAAACTAGAGAAAGCGAACGTTATCGTCAAATGGTAATATCTTCATCGTAAATATTTCCCTTACGTTTCCTTTGTACAGTACTATTACACATGCCCGAATTGTCTCGAACGGCCTTCCATAACACCTTGTTGCGTTAGGCGAATGTATTTGCTACACTGGTGCTCTAGCGACAAGTTCAGTTTAACGTCGTGACCCCGTCGACCATCTGCTGACTTCTTTATACCAATGAATTATGATCAATACAAATACATTCCTTTCCACAATGAATTGTTAACGCGTCGAATAACATCTGACGAAGGGCTTCCGTGTAAATTTCTCATTAAAGAATAACGGACGTTTTTTTTCCGTCTTTTGCTCAGGCCTTGGTGTGTGTGAATTGAATCAAGATACACAATACATGTTAAAACTTCATCAACAGTACACTTTATGTGTGATATATATTGTAGCCACCATACTATTAAAAAGTCAACGCCAGAGAATGATCAGTTCCGGGTATCTGCCGAAACAAACTGCTTAGGGCGTAAAAGACACAATAGAGATGAACGGTTCATGAATGGATGACTGACAATGGGTAAGCATGTCCTGCTCCCGCTAATTACACAAATTTCCTCACAAAAACAAGGACCCGTGAAGATCCGGGTAGAGAAAAGGTCTTCATCAACTCATCCTTGCCGTAAAAGGCGACTATGACTTGGTTAATGCATGTCATCGTATCCAAACTGCGTAGATCGATGCTGATGATGTCAATGACTGGATTTTCTGGTCCAGACTCGATTATTTACAGATCGCCGTCATTTTGCTGGAATATTGCTGGGTGCGGCGTTAAACAAAACAACAACAAAAGAACACAAAAGCAAGTGCTAGTGAGTAAAAATTAGGTATGAACGCTGTGTTAAGGTAAAATCTTTGGACAGTATCGCGCATCATGTTGACAAGCGCCACGTCACATACAGTACATGAGTGTGAATATCTACCATAACATGATTGAACCAGGCAAATGATGGTTAGTTGTAAGCAAAGTGTGACATTCCGTGAAATTTGGATACATTGAGCATGACTGCCATGGGTAGTCAGAGAGACAAGCCCAGATGAAGGACAGCAGCGGACGGGGGATTGTACGGCTAGTCGTCTCGTCGGCCAAGGCCTGTCGACAATGAAGAACCGCCGTAATTAAGAAATGTGAACGCAATAAGTTGGAGCTGATGGTGTAATGCTCGATATGAATGGGAAATGATCTGAAAATCGAAATCATCCCTCTACTATCCAGATAAGTCACTGAATATGGTGTCCTTTCTTTGTTTTAACTAATGTCAGCCTAGATGATTAAACAAACAGGAATCATATATGTTGTCCAACTATGCACTGCAAGCTGCAAGTAGCATCAACGAAGATGAAGTATATATGAAACGTTAACGCCATAGAAAAACAAGTCTCGATTATCTGCCGAAACTGATTCGACTGGACGTAAACGCCAATTTTATGACTGGATCACTTAAAATCAGCGATGACGACAGATATTCGTGAAAACGCTAAGCCACTCACCCAATTTGCACAGAAACCCTATGAAGCTGCAGTAGAAGGTGTTTTGTCTTACATAATGACGGCCGGAATCAGGATGACCTTTATGTCAAAAAGATAAATGAGAGCCCTATCTAATCCAAAGGAGTGTGTTGAAACAGCTTGAAACATCTTACAATATAGTCAGAACCCTGCACTCGACTGAGCCTTTTCCAGAGATTTCTTATGATTTAGGAAACGTTTTTTCCCGCTTTTGTCCATACTCATCTGATACCATAGTTTTTGGAACCAGACCCATTTTACGTCATCGTCTTTTTCCACCAAACTGGATCTTGTAAGTAAATTCATTGTTTAAAAAAGTCCATCTTTTCTTTTCTCATGTAATCAGGCATTTTGCTCCCCCTGGACGTTGGTGTATTAACAATAGTTAAAGTTAAAAAGGCCAGATATAATGAACTATTAGTCTCATACTGCGACAGCCTCGGTCTCAAGCAACTGATCATATTCGTCAGAGAGACAAGCCCAGATGAAGGACAACAGCGGATGGGGGATTGTACGGCTAGTCGTCTCGTCGACAAAGGCCTGTCGACAATGAAGAACCGCCGCAAAAAAAAAGAAGAACGCAATAAGTTGGAGCTGATGGTGTAATGCTCGATATGAATGGGAAATGATCTGAAAATCGAAATCATCCCTCTACTAACCAGATAAGTCACTGAATATGGTGTCCTTTCTTTGTTTTAACTAATGTCAGCCTAGATGATTAAACAAACAGGAATCATATATGTTGTCCAACTATGCACTGCAAGCTGCAAGTAGCATCAATGAAGATGAAGTATATATGAAACGTTAACGCCATAGAATAACAAGTCTCGATTATCTGCCGAAACTGATTCGACTGGACGTAAACGCCAATTTTATGACTGGATCACTTAAAATCAGCGATGACGACAGAATATTCGTAAAAACGCTAAGCCACTCACCCAATTTGCATAGAAACGTATTTGATCGTTTGTTGCCTAACGCCTCACAGCATGCGCAGTACTCCTGCCATACGACGTCGGCCTTAAACAATCGAGTCTCGACCAGTCATTTTAGTGGCATTTACTTATTTACTTATTTTGTTGACACTAATATCGATACATTAACTTTGAATTGCATCTCCTGTTTACAAGCGCATAGATTCTGCTACTTACAAGTAAGAGAACCACTTGAGAAATATATTCGTTTTACAGCATATTAAGGGGCAGTTTTATTGTCTTGGTCAAAACATTTCTTGTGCAGTTGACTCAGCGTATTTGATATATGCTACTAAACGTATGATGAAAAGCTGAGACTTCTGTACACCAGCAGAAACATCGATCCAGTTTAAGTAAACATAAAACGTCAACGCCAGAAAATAATTCAGTCTCAAGAGCCAAAATATGCACGTGTATGTCCTTGTTTGTCTTAGGTATGCCACCAGAGTAAGCAGGGCATCGTGTTGGGCCTCCGTAGCCGTGGCAATACAGTGAAACTCCATTAACCCTAACCGAGTTAGCCGGCCACACGCCCTCACCTGATATCATCACTAATAGTGATTCATAAACACATGCGTATGTCATGGTCGGAATCGTACAATGGGCTCTGCTTTAGGCAGAAATTTCTAATGATTATGGAAAGGGATTTGTCACTTTTAATTCCGTGCGAAGGGAACGTGCATCTGTACATTACTATGCGTACATCAGTATAACACGTGATTCGTTAATCCTAATTATGGTTAGGTTTCCCTGAGAACAGTTCCATCACAAACTGAACTAATTCAGTGTACACAGATACATGATACCAATGCTTATGCTGAGTTTGACTTTTTAGCTTAAAAAACGTATAAATTTCGAAAGAGAAGCAACATCCTTAGATTGTGTCATATCTCTCTTCCAACGCGCGTTCTTAAGCCAATATTTATTGTGCAGGTGGCCCCTGTACTGACATACACTAAGCACGGTATTGTCCGATGCCACCCCATACCATTACACTTCCACTCCCTAACTGACGAGACGACGTTGCGTAACGGAAGCTTTTACCACTGACGCTGCAGACCCTTGCACGACCATCCGAGCTGTGCAAATGAAACCTCGACTCGTCTGTGAACTGTTTACTGACCAAGTCTTGTCTTCTGGTCCTCAGATGCTGTCAACACCAAGTTAGACGTGACTGATGGTGACGCGGAAGCACTATCGGCCGTATCGATGGACGTCAGGCCGGATGGTGTGAGCCTTCAACTGGTTACAGCTCTGTCACTAACTGGTCTCAACCCAGGAATTGTTTGATCTGTCAATGTACGAGTTTAATATCGATTCCGAAGATGCACCAACTGAATAAGGCTGTCTTGTTGACATGGCTAAAAACACGTTGTGTGATGTTCACATTTAAAAAAACACGTGTATGCGTACACACGCCCAACAAACACGCAAACACACTAATTATGAGCCGGGCATTAAAATGCTCGTGCAAATTGTGAATCCTGACCTAAACGTCGGGGAGATGTCTTCATGACTATATATTGAAAGATGCTGGAGTTGAAGTTTTTTAATTTCAGAATAAATATATTTTTATTGAACAATATATGGAGCACAGTATTTTCCGTTAGTGTATATCTGCAGCACTTGTACACTGGCGTTAGAAAAGTATTCATTTACATGTTTTAACTTAACACTCTTCGTTAAATGAAAATGGTTAAAATTGAAACATTGATTTTTTACATAGTGCTTAAGTCCGCGTGTCGTTCTTTTTGGTCTAACGTAGCAATCTCACACACTGTGTGTGGCTGTTGAGTAAGTGACTGTGCGAGTATGTGAGTACGTATACATTTTAACCACCGTGTTTTAGCAATATCTCTCTTGTCAAGGATCACAAGTACTAGCTTAGACCACGTATCATCCGTTTCCCCATTTTATGCATAAAGCCAAACGGGTTTGTCTACACAGAAGTAAGAAACTCATTTTCAGATTACATTAAGGGGAACTTAATCGTGAGTATTGCTGTACTTGTGTTCCTGCATGAAACACCTCGGTTAAGAGATGAGGTAGCTGATATGAACATTCTTGCTTCAGCATTGTAGCTTGGTAAATTAGCTTGACTGGTCTTATGATCATTGCATCAATACCAAACTAGTTTCTTTAATTGAATTAAGAATGACAAAAAACTGATTTGTTATAACTGCAACCACATTAAGGTAACACACAATTACCACGAATTGACTTACAAACCACGGTCAAATCCTACATATACGACCACTATCAACACTATTGCTAAAACTCTTTACATTTTTGTCTGTAACCATTACACCATGCCCGATACTTCACAAAAGAACTTGTTCAGTTTGTCAGATTTTCATTTCATTTCATTTCTTTCCGAAATGAGTTATTTATTTCGTTGCATAAAATCTAGTGAAGGGCTTCAGTGAACATTCGCTTTTAGGAACCCATTAGGTTTTGCGATCGATTTCACAGACTTGGGTTTTAACTGTGTCATTACAATGCTGGCCATTACGACAAAACTTACACATTTTGTAGCCCATATAGATACTGTGTTCTGCAATATGTAACTTCTCAAGAACAAGTTCGAAATGATTAAATATGCATTTATATTTCTTCTAGTTATTAGGACCGGGGGGCACGGGTGGCCCGCGATTCGCTGTGCAGAGCTGCTTTCCCTTGGGCACGCCAGAAACCTATGATTGTGAGTTCGAATCCTGGTTCGCCCCGATTATGTTTCTAGGTTTGTCAGCACCATACCCGTGCTCGTGGGTTTCACCGAAGTGGTAAACGTCTGAGACCTGCATCACTTCGGGCATTCCTCCCACATTAAGCTGACACGCCGCGATAGAACTGGAATATTGTTAAAAGCGGCGTTAAACCCAACTCACTCACTCACTCACTATTAGGACCGCTTCCGTGGTCTAGTGGTAGAGCGGAAGGTCCGGGGTTCTATCCCCGACCGCGTCATACCAAAAGACGTTAAAAGATGGTACTTGTTTGTACCATGTCTGGCGCTAGGAATCAAGGGGATTAAACAAGGACTGGTCGGCTTAGAGTCAGTTGGGTATCATGTTAAACTATGGCATGGTAGCTCAATGAGCTAGCACTATGAATCGGCTTACACACACACACAAACACACACACACACACACACACACACACACACGTGCATGCATGCACGTCGCTATATAATGCAACAATCTTGGACCTCTACAATCTCTCACTAACAAGGTGCTGCTTGCTTCATTTACAGGGCCGCTGGTGCATTAATGGTACAGATGATAAGATATACACATTTCCACAAAGTAACAGGAGTACTGAATGTAAATTGCCAAATCCAAAAAAGCTCCCATGATGTCCCATCCTTTACCAATACGCTTTACGTCAAATCCAATTAATATTCTTATTTTCTCCGCAACCGGAAACGCAAAAAAGAAATTGCACAGTTCTGAAATGGAACACGGCAAAATCGAACACCGTAATATTTTACAATTAATTCTTTTCTCAATATTGTCTCGAACATTGCTATTACAACTTGCCCGAATAGGCATGATCGAAAATAGGCCTTCCTAAAAGCCTTGTTGCGTCAGGCAGGTTGTGTATGTCCTTGGGTGATGCTGCTCTAGCATCTGGGTTAACGTCGTGGCCTTGTGAAAAAGAACCGCTTCCTTACTCCACGGAATCAAATCTCTATAAATGCATGAAAATCAATACCTAAGTTCCTTTCTGTCCACAATAAACGTATTAATTCGTTGCATAACACATAATAAGGAATCAGTGTAAATTTCACATTAAAGAATACATTACGAACTATTTTGATCACAAAAGAAGTAAACATGTACGACGTCATCTGGTTTGCCTCGCACCCACTGTTAAGCCAGATACACGTTATATACTGTTCAAAGTGGTGTTGAAGCCACCCAACACTTGTTATATCGCGTTCTTTAAACGAGAGAAAGAGGTTTACTATTTATTTAAACGGGGTAAAACTATTTACATTATCTTAAGATATCGCTGGAAATAAAGCGACAATACCATTTCCATATGCTTAATCAAATTTCTGCTAAGGCAAAGTCAAGTGAATGCTTCCGACTATATATGCATATGTTTATTAATCGCTATCAAGTGAAGATATCAGGTGTTTGCGAAAAGGTGGGCGTATTCTGCCTCATCTGTTGCAGCCATCACAAACACATGCAAATGCAAGTCAACTATTCACCTGAACAAACACGTGAACATTTGATACAACTATAAATACGTAATTGCATCGGACATCAATTTGTTCACTGATCATTCAAATTTGGACATATCCTCCAAATGTCTACTTAAAAACGTTTGCAAACTTAAGGGTTTGAATGTTGTGACGCTGATGCACATGTGAGATATAGTTTTGAAGATGATATCATTGGTTTGTTTGTTTGTTTGTTTGTTTGTTAACGCCGCGATACTGTCCAAATTTTTTACCTTTACACATCGTTCATACCTCCTTTTTACTCACTGGCACTTGCTTTTGTGTTCTTTTGTTGTTGTTTTTTGTTTAACGCCGCACCCAGCAATATTCTAGCTATATGACGGCGGTCTGTAAATAATCGAGTCTGGACCAGACACCCCAGTGATTAACATCATGAGCATCGATCCACGCAATTGGGATACGATGACATGCATCAACCAAGTCAGCGACCCCGACCACCCGATCCCGTTAGTTGCCTCTTATAACAAGCATAGTCCTCTGATACGGTAAGCATGGGTTGCTAAAGACTTATTCTACCCCCGGATCTTCACGGGTCGACGATGATATTAAACATGATTTTATTAAATAGTTATTCCACTTGCCGTAGCCCACACCACCAGATGCCTGTTTCATTGTCTCACTACTCCTTTAACTCCACCGACCCCAAGTGGATAGAGCGTCTGCCCGGAAAGCAGAAGGTCACGTGGTTCGATCCCCGGTTGCGTCATACCAAAAGAGGTTAAAAGACGGCTCTTGTTGTTATCCAGCCTGGTGCTTGGCATTAAGGGACTAAATAAAACGAGGACTGGTCGGCTTGGAGTCAGGATTCTCTGTCTGAGTGGCGTATTCATGTTAAAGTGCAGCATGGTATCTCAGTGGGCCAGCAATAGAAAATCGGCATTAGTACTAGTACAAGCAGCCACACCCACCCACGCACACCCACACCCACGCACACCCACACCCCCACACACCACCCACCCCCCCACACACACACCCACCCACCCACACCCACCCACCCACGCACGCACACACACACACACACGCGCGCAGTCACGCACGCAGTCACGCACGCAAACACGCACGCACGCACGCACAGTGTGCACATTTCAATAGTTGTGTTCTATTGTCCACCATCTTGCTTAGGTGGCCTTATTTGCACACTGACAGCGTGGATTTTTGGTCATGGTGTCAATCACTGAATTGTGTCTGCCGGGACTCGATTATTTTCATAATTGATGGAATATTGCTAAGTACGTCAAATACCTAACAAACAAAACGATAAACGTCTTTTCATTTTAACTCTTTTTTTTCAATCCAACATGGCCGAACAGACTGACGAGATACCTGACGATCATTCGTGGTACCTACACAATTGTAGACTAAAAGCCCCGCGACACCTAGTGACATCCTGATTATCACTGATAGCCTATATGCCATCTGTATGCTATCAGCAATGTACATGTGTTTACTTAATCTGAAAAGCCATGGGTCAGCAGTCACAATCACAATCATTTATGCTTAACATTGTTATACACATTGTGTCTGTTGATATTCAGGATACGTATTGCATCTACAAATAATTGTTAGTCAATATAGGTACGACGGAATGTATTTAGTTAAATAAATGGTAAGGAAATTGTATATATTTTGTTTTCTAGTCTATCTAGCATATCCTTTGCGTCAGTTATTGGGAAACACGATTTTTTAAACTTTACTCCGTCATGTGCCGTTCCCTTTTAACGAGTCTAAACGCGGCGTTTCTTGTCTCCATTAATAATTCGGTCGACGATTGTGTGTCACTGATAAACGGTAATGGTGAAATATGTCACCTGACTTTTATCTGAATATAACAGATAGCAATATACGTCGAGGTCCGTGCATAGTGAGTCATGGTTGTGCTTTGTGAGTCATATTTGTGGTCATCACAACACGCAGTCAAGAGTAGTAATTTGTCAGCTATCTGATCAACCGCAAACAATGGTCGGTCTATTAGGAAAACGCAACATGGCAAGTGCCTGAATTTCGAATGTTTTTTATACCGGCACTGCCACAATGCCCCCCACCCCCCACACACCCCCGTCGCCGATGTCTCAAATTGCACAATCCCCACATCCCGAATCGAAATTTATGTCAAGACGATGAAGTTTTAAAATATTGCTTTTGAGCCAGATAAACCTAATATGACGACATGGAACCAAGGAACAAGGAACACAATTACAAGACATGTTATGGATTATGTAATAAATGTTTTGAAGGAGCGCAGACCTCTAGAGTCAATACCCCGAATAGAGGCAGACCTGTATATAGGTTAGGGTTAACGGAGCCATGGCCGATTGTGCACAACTATCCTCCGGACAACTAGTAACAGTGCACGTAAAACAGTGCTACACTGCAGAGGGTGGGGATGGGTCCAGAGGGTCTGGAGTCAATACCCCAAATAGAGGTAGACCTGTACACACTCGTGCCCCTCTCATGGCCATTTTTGCGACCGGGTTCTGTCTTAACGCAAACGGGCATACCTAAAACAATTGTCAACTCGTTGCGTAATGGTTCACATATATTTCCCCAAATATTATATATATTTCAGATGCAATTTAAATCACACCGGAGCGTGCGGAATTATACAGTATGATTGAACACATTTAACTGTGTCTGGGGTATATTTTTAGATGCAAGACATATGTAAAATTAAAACTTATTTGTGAGGGATTCTTTGACGAAGAACCTGAAATCATACGCGCATTCTGATTGGTTTGTCGTATTTTGGCACATAACATTCATCGATGGGGGACGAGTCTTCTTGCAGGTTACGCAAAGGGGCGAGTGGTAACGTATGAGGTTAGGGCTAACGGAGCCTAGCCGAATGTGCACAACTATCCTCCGGACAACTAGTTACAGTGCACGTAAAACAACGCTACGCTGGGGATGGGTCCAGAGGGTCTGGATGCCCCCTTTAAAAATTGTGAGTAAGTGAGTTGGGTTTTACGCCGATTTTAACAGTATTCCAGTTATATCACGGCGTGTCAGCTTAATGTGGGAGGAAAGCCCGAAGTGATGCAGGTCCAAGACGTTTACCACTTCGGTGAAACCCACGAGCACGGGTATGGTGCTGACAAACCTAGAAACATAATCGGGGTGAACCGGGATTCGAACCCACAATCATAGGTTTCTGGCGTGTCCAAGGGACGCAACTCTGCACAGCGAATCGCGGCGCCTTAGACGACTGGGCCACACGTGGCCCCCCCCCCCCCCCCTTTAAAAAAACATTTGTAGTATGTTGTAGGCAGTAAAACTAACTGAAAGGTAATTTTCATATTTTGGACCCCTCCCTTTTAACCTTTTACGCACTTTCACTGATTATAATATCTGGCCCAACGCACACAAGATAATAAATATGCTCTTCGTTCTGTACTTATCTACTGACCTGACATGGAGCGGCTCGCGACATGTGCGTGTTCTCATGCCACTGATCGTCTTGTACCCGACTAAACATGACTGGTAAGTAAAAAACACGACACCACCACCGCTGTTATTTGTGCCGATCAACAAGCGCATATACATAATAGTTTTCCTTTATATTTTATGTTTCAGTGCTTCCAAAAGACTTCATCAGTAGGTAGCCTAGTAACCATCATTATCGTTTCCTTGAATGGCTCGATTCCACATGCGTGATATGGCTGGCATATTTCCAAACAAACGCATAAAACCAAATCCGCTCACCTGTAGACGAAGAATATATCAGAATCCATTTCTGCAGTATACCTCTCCATAAAGACAAACTAGCAATACTCACTGAATGATGACATGCCCGTAAAAAAAACCCGATACACCGTAAGAATGGATTTAAAGCGAAACATCCTCTGCCTGGTGAGGAGGTGAAATGGGGTTTAACGTCGCGTCCAAGATTATTGCACTTATATAGCGACGTGCATGTGCGTGTGAGTGTGTGGCTGCTTATACTAGTCGGGACTAATGCCGATTGTATAGTGCTAGCTCACTGAGATACCATGGCGCAGTTTAACATGAATACCCACTCATACACAGTAAGATGACTCCGAGCCGATCCGTCCTTCTTTAAGCCCCTCAATGCCGAGCGCCAGGCAGGGTAACAACAAGTACCATGCATGGTGAGATGCTGTACATCCACAAATGGCGGACATATTCTGTATCTGCCCCCTTCCTTTGTGTTGCAGATCAGCTGAGACGACGTTTCCTTGGGTTGACAGTGGCGAGTGTTGTATCGATAGTAGTCCTACACTATCTAATGAACGCCCATCGGCGAGATAGCCTTCCCGATAATGGTTGGGATGAACTGTTTGAAAGGTACCTGAGTCTGACACCTGTCATGACATTTTCCTACCTTTGCCATATGACCTTTGTACTGATGTGTTGATAGGTTGACAGCTGGGAAGTACATCTCTGGGGGGTACACTTGTATTAATTATTAAACGCTTCGACGGATAGGAAGGAGCCTTGGGCGATCCAGGTTTATCTGAAATATTAGATAAATGACCCCCCCCCCCCCCCCCCCCCCCCTCACACACACACACACACACACACACACACACACACACACACACACACACACACACACACACACACACACACACACACACACACCGACCGACACACCGACACAACGACCCGGGCGCGCACGTGCGCACACACACACACGCACACAAACACACACACCGATCGACCTACCGACTCACACACACAAACACACAAACACCGACACACACAAACACAGAGAGACACGCAGACTAAGGCACGGAGACACGGAGACCCAAGGGAAGGTGTCAGGCTTCCATACACATCGTTTGTGTGGTTTAATTTCATATCATCAGACTCGATTATTTACAGACCTTCGTCATATAGTGGGCACATTGCTGAGTTAAACAACAAACAAAACCAAAAATCATATTGATATTTTGACAAACCTCTTCTTTAGGAGCCTCGCCAATACGTGGTTGGTACTGGTCGGCCGGACAGGGAGCATGACCAGGCCACTGAAACAGCCGGGTGTTCACATCGTGTTTGTCGGCAGTTTGGACCTGTCTGGAGACATACCTTGGTGCCGGTGAGTCAAGGACGCCGTACCCACCACAACCCGACCCCTTCGTACCCACTTCAATGTGACCCCATCGTACCCAATACAATGTGACCATTCGCTTTCACCACAATGTGACGCCTTCGTATCTTCCATAATGTGACCTCTTCGTACCCATCAAATTGTGACCATTCGTATTCACCACAATGTGACCATTCGTACCCACCACAATGTGACCTCTTCGTACCCACCACAATGTGACCATTCGTACCCACCACTATCTGACCATTCGTATTCACAACAATGTGACCATTCGTACCCACCACAATGTGACCTTTTCGTACCCACCACAATGTGACCGATCGTATTCACCACAATGTAACCGATCGTATTCACCACAATGTGACCTCTTCGTACCCACCAAAATGTGACCATTCGTATTCACAACAATGTGACCATTCGTACCCACCACAATGTGACCTCTTCGTACCCACCACAATGTGACCATTCGTACCCACCACAATGTGACATCTTCGCACCCACCACAATGTGACCATTCGTACCCACCAAAATGTGACCCCTTCGTACCCACCACTATCTGACCATTCGTATTCACAACAATGTGACCATTCGTACCCACCACAATGTGACCTTTTCGTACCCACCACAATGTGACCGATCGTATTCACCACAATGTAACCGATCGTATTCACCACAATGTGACCTCTTCGTACCCACCAAAATGTGATCATTCGTATTCACAACAATGTGACCATTCGTACCCACCACAATGTGACCTCTTCGTACCCACCACAATGTGACCTCTTCGTAACCACCACAATGTGACCATTCGTACCCACCACAATGTTACATCTTCGCACCCATCACAATGTGACCATTCGTACCCACCAAAATGTGACCTCTTCGTAACCACCACAATGTGACCATTCGTACCCACCACAATGTTACATCTTCGCACCCATCACAATGTGACCTTTTCGTACCCACCACAATGTGATCGATCGTATTCATCACAATGTAACCGATCGTATTCACCACAATGTGACCTCTTCGTACCCACCAAATGTGATCATTCGTATTCACAACAATGTGACCATTCGTACCCACCACAATGTGACCTCTTCGTACCCACCACAATGTGACCTCTTCGTAACCACCACAATGTGACCATTCGTACCCACCACAATGTGACATCTTCGCACCCATCACAATGTGACCATTCGTATTTACCATAAGGTGACCCATTCGTGCCCACCACAATGTGACCTCTTCGTACCCACCACAATGTGACCTCTTCGTAACCACCACAATGTGACCATTCGTACCCACCACAATGTTACATCTTCGCACCCATCACAATGTGACCATTCGTATTCACAACAATGTGACCATTCGTACCCACCACAATGTGACCTCTTCGTACCCACCACAATGTGACCTCTTCGTAACCACCACAATGTGACCATTCGTACCCACCACAATGTGACCATTCGTACCCACCACAATGTTACATCTTCGCACCCATCACAATGTGACCATTCGTATTCACAACAATGTGACCATTCGTACCCACCACAATGTGACCTCTTCGTACCCACCACAATGTGACCTCTTCGTAACCACCACAATGTGACCATTCGTATTTACCACAAGGTGACCCATTCGTGCCCACCACAATGTGACCTCTTCGTAACCATTCGTACCCTTTCGTACCCATCACAATGCGACCCCATCTTACCCAACATAAGGTAACCCCGCCTCCACCTCCTTCGTACCCTCCACAATGTGACGTCTACCCACTAAATGAACGCCCTTCAAAGAGGCGCATAAGCCCGTGTCACTTCAAGGCCTATAACATAAATATACATCCTTCTCGGTCAGTAGTCAAGGCCATTGTAGTGTTAATCCAAACGAATGCCAAACCCGTTTGTTGAACTCGACGTCTGTACGTCACTGTGCCTATTTGGATCTTGCTGACGCTGGAGTTCTAATCTTCACCATAAAAATATAGCAGATGTTTGCCATTGTCCAGATAGGACCTTCATATCAGGAAAACCGAATTCATGAAATATGACTGAACTGGTCATATATTTTGTAAAGAACGGAACAATTGAACACTTCAAGTTTGTTTATAAGCCAGAAAAAAACACTTCTCGGTTTTGAAAGACAAGTTATACAATCGGGGTCAGGAAAAGACCTCGGTCCTTGGGCCTATATTCGTCGCCCTCGCGTTTACATTTTCAACCAAAATCTGGGAATCAGATTGGGTACCTCTATCACACTACAAAACAGTCAAAAAGCGCTTCCCCTGTGTGGAAGATTATAAGGACGTTGTGTGAAACTCGAGTAATTAATTATACATGCATGCAATGATAGACTAAGCTGGCATCCTATCACAGCATAACCAGGGATGATTATGCTATTGCTATCTGTCCCCGTCCCTTAAATGTCCTGGCCCCGAAATGCATTGAACTTTAAGCAGAATTTCATTATCCTCTTTTTCGGAAGTTGGACACAGGTACACGGGTATAATCTTGAATAACCATCACTGCCGGTAGGGTAGCCTCACGTCACGTCCAGATCAAGATGCAGGTCTGATTGCCCACATGATGTGTCGTCAATCCTTGGTGTCCTCCGCCGTGATGTGGCTGGAATACTGCCTAAAGCGGCGCAAATCCAAATTCCCTCATATCACGCACTTACCCCAAGACACGGTGCACATCCACAACGAAGGATGACGGGGCTGTTCTTTAGGGTACTTTTGTATCAATATGGAGTTAAGGCTAACTAGCCTCCGGGAAAAAAGATAATTTAACGTTGTATATACACTAAGAAATATGATATTTCAGCCTAAACTTTACTATTGCATAGCATCCTGCTCACCAATACATTCAGGGTGTAACTTACAATCGCATGTTCGTCCCATGTGTGAGTCTATCTCTACCTAAAATCGTTTCAGACCACCAGACTGCATTTACCTTGGAATCAGAAATCAAAGCACCTTCGCAAACAAGATAACCAGTCACCTTACACCCAGCACCTATTCAAAGAGACTACTCGGCTATCTTTATGCAGTTTCTAAAGGAGCAAATGTAATCTACACGAAGTACATTTACAACCGGAAGGAACACACCCCAAACCGCACTCTGACCATAGGAAACACGTACACCGTCATGGAGGTGTTCTTGGATAGAGAAGTCACAAGCGACATGAAGCAGGCCTGGACCAAAGGGCAGTCTGACCTGGTGCCTTGGTTCATGTACCACAAGTACACTCTGCTGTGTCCGGAGAGTTGTGTTCAGGCGTCCTCGCTCAACACAGGCGGCAAGCGGACACATAATCCTATTGGGTTCACCATGTTGTACTCGTCTATTGCTTCCTACAAATACTCAACGTTCTGGGGACTATTATTTCACAGTCTATACGGCGCCTTGGGCAAGATATTAATACAGAGGCTTTTATCAGAAATTAGGGGAGGAGATACTATTCCGAGAGATTACACCGATCTGTTGTTCACAGAAGCCCCGTGGAAACATGAAGAAAATATGAAGGCGCGGAATTATTCGTGGGAAGATCTGACAAATTTACGTGATACACTATTGAAGTGGAAATGTGATAATACGAAGTCGTTTTTCGGCTGTGTGAGAGATATTGCCAATACACTGGTACATGGCCCATTATGGGCTGTGTCTGATGTGGAACTTGTACACGCATGGCTGAGTGATTTGGAAAGTGTTGGCTACAGTGAGCCTCTCAGAAGCCTGCCAGCAGAGGGGATAAATACTGCGGGGTCCAATCTGACACAACGTACACACTCATCACGAAGACCTGGACAGATATCCTTTTCTGAACAGTGCCCTGATGTTGTTCTTACAAACGCCGATCCGATAATTAAAGATATAGGTCTGATCATAGCTTTCAACGAGGCAACGTTTTACTATAATATACCTCTTCTTGAATCAATGTATAGAGGTTATTTCAAACACATTGTATACTGCGGGCCTGAAATTGGTTCATTCACACATCACGCAAGTCGCGGTTCGGATATTGTTCATCTTGTGTTTATTGAGGCTTATAGCAAGGGATGGTATTTCTATTATGAGTGCTTAATGCTGGCGATGCAACTCAATTTAGATGTGAATGGATTTATACAGATTGGCGATGATACATTATTGAACCCATGGAATGTTGTTGATCTTCCTCGGAACACGATATGGCTTCATAAAGGAATGGACAAACTGAACTTGTCGCTTGATGAGATCGAACCGGAGTGGCAATGGTGGACCGATGAATACGGCAAACCTGCTATCTTGGAAACGTTCAATGATATCAATAGCCTGGGCGCTTCCGGTGAAGCAGACGACATTTTTCTTTCCTATATACAGACATTTGAAAGAAACTCAGAGAATTATAAGTACGTGTTTCGTCAAGGATGTGATTTCATTTACCTGCCCATGATCTTCAAGAGGCAGTATATACAGATTGCATCTGTGTTCCTGAAGCACGAGGTCATGGTCGAGTTGGCCCATGCCAATATTGTCATGGGCCTTCAGCCATCGGCTGACATCTTGAAGGTCGAAGATGGCAGTTTGTGGATGAGAGACCAAAGAACATTCTCCGTATTTTTCTACAACAAGACGAAGTTATTTCTACATCCATTCAAACTAGGAACGGTTGAGAAACATACAACGACTTATTTTTTCTGTAATGTCTATTTTAGAGAGAGTGAAAGGTATCTGAGACACAGCATCGGATTACAATAGCAATTTAGAAATATAATGTTCGATGTTTGATGTTCCATGATCGATGCTGGCGCAACCACGTCATGGATACTGAGTGAGTGAGTGAGTGAGTGAGTGAGTGAGTTGGGTTTAACGCCGCTTTTAACATTATTCCAGTTATATCACGGCGTGTCAGCTTAATGTGGGAGGAAAGCTCGAAGTGATGCAGGTCTCGGACGTTTACCACTTCGGTGAAACCCACGAGCACGGGTATGGTGCTGACAAACCTAGAAACATAATTGGGGCGAACCGGGATTCGAACCCACAATCATAGGTTTCCGGCGTGTACAGGGGACGCAACTCTGCACATCGAATCTCGGCGCCTTAGACGACTGGGCCACCCGTGCCCCCCATGGATACTGAGATGCGACGACGACGGGCATCGCGAAAATACGACATTGAAATACGACACGCTGAATGGCGTAACACGTCCCATTTTAATTCTGGAAACCCAATAGTCCAGAAACTCTACGGTCTTTGCTCAGTCTCGGTCAAAGGTATTTACAAAATTAAACATGCTGTTTTCATGGGTACATACAAAGGAGGAACACATGGGCGAAATATTTCAATATCGCTATAAAATAGTTGAATTAAGTAAAACTGAGTTACATTATGTGCCATGAAAATTGTAAGAACACCTGCATGTATTTGCGAAACAAAAACATGAGTTTTGAGCGAAGGAAAATATTCTCGGACATGGGCAAAACCTTTTTCTCGCCCATGGGCGAAATATTTCAATAACGCTATAAAATATTGTGTAAATATTGAGTTTTTGAAAAAAATGTTTTTTTCATTTTGTGTTTCTTGTTATGTTCACATGAAAACAGCAGTGGTATGAAGGCGGTGGTATTTCTGTTTGTAGCAAATGTAGTGACCACTACGAACAGTGACTGTTTTATAAGCCAATGAAGCCACTTCAGACAGCCGTCATATAGCTGGAATATTTCTGATTGCGGCGTTAAACAATAAATAAACAAATAGTGTCAGCTTGATGTGGGAGGAAAGATCGAAGTGATGCAGACGTTTAAAACATCAGCAACAAAACAGGACATCTACTTTTATCCGTTGTAATTACACGAGGGTTAACATTTCGGTAGTTTCTCAGTGAGAGAGTTGACTTTCTAGCAATGTGATTAATACAGTAATAAATTACGAAATCTGATTAGTTGAGAAGTTATAACATCACTACTTACCATTCATTCACAAATTTACAACCAGGCACACAATCTCCCTAGCCCAGTTATGACCAGAGTAACGTCCTGACACAATAGACACACTCGCTTATTGTAACTAGTCAGTTTAAGTTTCACCGATAAATTGCCTGTAAGGGTGATTTATTTCTTATTTATGATGATCAAACAGTTCTTCCCTTTGATCATTTGCTATTACATACTAGTTATTTAGAGGACTATTTGATCATCAGCAAAAACGTAAGTGAGAAGGCATTGAATGCATAGATGATGACTATTTACACGCGGATGGTTACCTGTAATGGCGATACATGGGATCGTCTCTTCAACAGTTGATGAAATCTGATATGATTTATAAATAAAAGCGACAAAGTCCATTCCACCATCCTATGGACTCTCAGGTAAAAGCTCGATCACACAATTTCCTGAAGACACAACATCAATTTGGCAAGCATTTAGTAATTTTGATTTAAAATTGAGTTTAATGAATGGGATTTAATTATATGCACTCTGCATGCATATAAATAAAATACTCTTGATAATCTTGAACGTGACGTTTTAACCCCATTCTATCTCACCTCACATCGTTGCTGTATTTTGTAGTAATTCTCAGGGAGATTCTGGGATTTGAATCCCAATCAGACAAATGTTATACGCTTGTGGGATGCATTTCTTCACAGCCAATTGAAGCGCCCTGAGCCACTTTTAACTCCCTATCCCTTATGTGTATCAATAAGTCCTGAAATATATGGCAACAGAATACAGGCGATGGCCCCCATAATGCCCCCATAATGCCCCATCTGATCCTTGCACTGTGGCCACTGATACCCTGTGTTTACACTTGGCGAAATGGTCCAATCAAGGTCCCAAAATAGAACAATTACTCTGAATATGTTTGACGGAGATTACAAGGGCAAAGAAACATCGGGAGATTCAACTAATGGAAATATGTTATTAGTAGCTATAACGAAAACGTCACAGATACAACATCTTTACCAGCCTCGTTCTCATGCTCGGCAACCATACGTATCCGAGCTTTAACGTGGTGATGCCACCTTCTGGTAATTGAACAACCCTAGGTCCTGGGATTTGACTGATTGAAAACAACACGTATTTCATTAAAACTCGGAGCCAGGAAACTGCTTTATCATAGTGTTTCCTGGAGACAACATAATCATGTTGGCAGTCAAATTGTTGCAATTTGTATTTAAAGTTGAATTAACACATTTGCAACTGTCCAAGGTATTTGTGTGGAATGTATTACTTAATTTCTGAAGACATCTGAACAGAAACCTTACAGGATGTTGCACAAGATACCGAACGTAGTGCATGCATATGATACAGAACGTAGCACGTGATACAGATCGTAGTTCATGATAAATAACGTAGTGCGTGATACAGAACGTAGTGCATGATACAGAACGTAGTGCATGATACATAACGTAGTGTGTGATACAGAACGTAGTGCATGACACAGATCGTAGTGCGTGAAACAGAACGTAGTGCATGATACAGAACGTAGTGCATGATACATAACGTAGTCCGTGATACAGAACGAAGTGCATGATACATAACGTAGTGCGTGATACATAACGTAGTGCGTGATACATAACGTAGTGCATGATACATAACGTAGTGCGTGATACATAACGTAGTGCGTGATACAGAACGTAGTGCGTGATACATAACGTAGTCCGTGATACAGAACGAAGTGCATGATACATAACGTAGTGCATGATACAGAACGTAGTGCATGATACAGATCGTAGTACGTGATACAGAACGTAGTGCATGATACATAACGTAGTGTGTGATACATAACGAAGTGCGTGATACAGAACGTAGCACATGATACATATCGTAGTGTATGATAGAGATCGTAGTGCATGATACATAACGTAGTGTTTGATACAGAACGTAGTGCATTATACAGAACGTAGTGCGTGAAACAGAACGTAGTGCATGATACAGAACGTAGTGCATGATACATAACGTAGTGTGTGATACAGAACGTAGTGCAGGATACATAACATAGTGCGTGATACAGAACGTAGCACATGATACATATCGTAGTGTATGATACAGATCGTAGTGCATGATACATAACGTAGTCCGTGATACAGAACGTAGCACATGATACATATCGTAGTGTATGATAGATATCGTAGTGCATGATACATAACGTAGTGCGTGATACAGATCGTAGTGCATGATACAAATCGTAGTGCATAGTACATAACGTAGTGCGTGACACAGAACGTAGTGCATGATACCGAATGTTGTGCGTGATACAGATCGTAGTGCATGATACATAACGTAGTGCGTGATACAGATCGTAGCGCATGATATAGAACGTAGTGCATGATACATAACGCAGTGCGTGACACATAACAGCAAGTATAGGTTGCTGAAGGAGTATTCTACTCCGGATCTTCACGGGTCCCATAATAACGTAGTGCATGATACAGAACGCAGCACGTGATACAAAAGCCTTTATAGAAACTGTAACCCTTTGTAGAGACTTTCTGGTAACTGAATGTCATAACAGTTGTGACTTAGGATGTGTTCACATACTAATATCCCAGATGGCTTTAGTGAGGGATTTTTCTCCGAACTAGGGCTTCATCTCGTGTGTTTTTGTCTTATCCTATCTTTTTCACCTAAGGGTTTGATTTTCGTTCCTATAACGATTATATTGCCTGCTCTCTTCTTAGTTTCAATGGGAGTTCTACTGTTTCTACTTGTAGTGCTTCTAGAGAAGTAGCTGTTGTTGACTGGAGTGTATTTTTTATTTGTGAAACATCTCTGTGTTTTACCCATATTGCTCCGATATCAGCGAATTTAGAATTTTTGTTTGTTGGAGTGTTGACGTGATGTACAACCCATGCTGGCAGTGAAGGGCAACTAACGGGATCGGGTGGTCAGGCTCGCTGACCTGGTTGATGCATTTCATCGTATCCCAATTCCGTGGATCGATGCTCATGATGCCAATCACTGGATTGTCTGGTCCAGACTCGATTATTTACAGACCGCCGCCATATAGCTGGAATGTTGCGGAGTGTGGCGTTAAATAACAAACAAACAAACCAAATTAAACAGGGTTGGGCTTATAAATGCTGCATTGAGGCGTGCCATTGTCCAGTGGCATAGGATCAGATTGGTTGCCCCTATTTTTAACTGATAGCGACCTGTCTTGCAGGTAGCTGTCTATGAAGTTTGCCATGTTCCCTTCTTCTCCATTCTGTGCCAGTACTGTGAGGAGTATGTCATACCATACCATGCCGAAGGCTTTGCTGTATTCCAGAAATACTGCGGCTAGGTATTATCTGTTCAGTTGAGTTTTTTTTATTTCATTTGCCAGTCGTTGTATATGATCTAGACATGAGTGTCCCTTCCTAAAACTGCTTTGATCAGGTGTGATGTGGTTACCACTTTCAAGTTGATGCATGCATGCCTTTTTGTAACCATGGCTTCCTTAGCTTTGCACATGTTTAAAGTGACTTCTCCTTTGGACGATATCGCGTTGTACAACTCAGTGAGTAAGCTCTTGGTTTGATCAGGTAGGTTTTTCAATATCTCGTAAATGGTAGGGTCAAGACCAGCTGCAGTGCCTTAACTTTGCTGTATTGCATCATCAAACTCTGTCACAGTTAATGATATATTGAATACCAGATGCTTGTTTTATGGCTGTTTCCATATCTTGGACATAAGCAGTTTTTCCTGTTGGAATTCTTTGCCGCAACATTTGTTGCTACTGACAGATGAGAAGAGCTCAGCTAGAATGTTTGCCTTCTCTTTGACTG